CCCTCCCTCTCTCTATGTCTCTCTTTCTTTCTCTCTCTCACTCTCTGTGTCTCTCTCACACTCATAATAATAAATGGAACAATTTTTTTGTTTTTTTTTTTCTCTCTTGTGTGTGCGCTCTTAGTCTCATTGTTTTGGCTACCTCAGGGTTATGTTCCCCTCGCCCACGAGATAAACAATTGGGGCTGCGATATAGTGGGCTTCAAGTCCGGCGTTTGTGTCAAGTTGTCGCATTTTCGGCAGCGGGCTGCGATACAGTTCGCAATCCTAAGGCTGCGGTCTAGTGGGGTTCGGCGTCTATGTCAAGGTGTCGCATTTTTTACGGCGGGCGACCAGGACACAAAGTGGGTTCTTAGGGGGCAAAAAAAATTGGGGGGCTGGTCCTTGCCAAAATTGCGGACTACCTACCTACAACTAACTCTGGTAGAACCGGGACTTTTGGAAAAAGGAAGGACCGGTCCTCGGGTGGAAGTGGACCCCAAAAAGAAGTGGGGGGCATTTGACCGGTCCTTGGGTAGAAGCGGACCCCCAAAAGAAGTGAGGGCATGTGAACTGCAAAAGGGCCCTCAGGCCCAGGCATTGAGGCCCATCTTCTCAAAACAGGGAGGTCAGGCACAACGAAATAGACGTTTTGCAAGAGGCAACTTTGGCGATTTTCTGTACTCGGACGACCCCGCAAAAATATATGAATTTTTTTTTCCGCAGAAATATATGAAATTTTGAGAATCCATAAACGAGGTCATGTTATTTCCATGAATAATATTCTAACATTTAAAAAAAAATCATTTAGACTACGAAATAATCGTCGCGTCGATTCGACATATTTTCCATTTTTGCCATTCAGCCATGTATGGGCCAACTGAAAAACTACTATAATTCAGTGAGTTTTCATGCTCAAAAGAATGCATGAAAAACCCTGAAAATTTGAGTACTCGAAAAGTTTGTTGTGATCTTCGCAGGAAAAATGCTCAACAGATTAAAAAAAATCATTCCAACTGTGAAATAGATCATGGCCGCAATTCGACCCATATTTCAATTTTGCCATTCAGCATCTCTCTCTCTCTCTCTCTCTCTCTCTCTCTCTCTCTCTCTCCCTCTCCCTCTCTCTCTCTGCGGTAGGCCCCCCCCCTCCCTCTCTCTCTCACACTCATAATATTAAATGGAACGAAACTCTCTCTCTCTCTCTCTCTCTCTCTCTCTCTCTCTGTCTCTCTCTCTGGGGTAGCCCCCCCCTCCCCTCTCTCTCTATCGCTCTTTCTTTCTCTCTCTCACACTCTGTCTCTCTCTCACACTCATAATATTAAATGGAACGAAACTCTCTCTCTGTCTCTCTCTCTGTCTCTCTGTCTCTCTTTCTCTCTCTCTCTCTCTCTTATGTGAACTCTTAGTCTCATTGCTTTTGGCTACATTAGGGCTGCGTTCCCCGCGCCCACGCGGTAGACAATTCGAACACACGTTCTATTCAAGGTTCTCTGCTATTCGAGAAAAGTGGAGCTGCGCCGTTTCAATTTCAAAAAAGGACCTCGGCCTCCTCAGCCTGCTAGCTCCTACGGACAGCTACCGGTCCTACGTGGTCCTGGGCCTTGCAAGGCCCCCAAACGTCAAAATGCCCACCCTCCCGACGTCCCACCGACACTGAAAAAAATTTGATTGACATTGAAATGTCTCAGGGGGCGGGCTGCGAACAGGCGCACTCCCACATTCCACCAGTACTCCGCACATTCCCGACACTCCAGGCAACCCGTCCACACATGCCAGCCCTCGTCTCGGCGTCCCATGCCGTGAGTCCGGATCCACCAGGGCAGTAGCAGCGTTGTGCCGGCTTTGTAATCGGACTGAAGGCCAGATCCCACTAGCGCCTATTGTTCATTTCTGACCGTTGATCTTCGTAATCGAGGGTGAAAAATGAATAATCCAGGGTAGTGGGATCTGACCCTGAACCCAGCAGCACATCTGGAGAATTGAAATGAGCCTCTCGGTCGCAGCGTGTAGGCTTTTTCCAGCAGGTTCGGAATGGCCTGCACGGTGCCGACGTCGGCCTACCGCTTCTTCGTTCCGGCCGTACCTCTCTTCCCTGCCCTTGGCTGCGCTTCCGCGCTTGGCGCGGCCTCCAGCAGCAGCAGGCTTTTCAATTCGAGCGGTCCGCCGACGGATCCACGATGGGGGACCGGTCGCCGTTCGGTACCACGTGTCCATGCCTTCACAGATCGTCTATTGATTGCCTCGATTGGATCGGTCGGTGGAGGCAAGGGCAAGGGCAAGGGCGTGCTTCATTTCGCTAAGGATTTCAACGTTTCTCCGGTGGCAGGGATGGCAGATGGCCAGCTGTCGAGTGATCATCGTGCGGGCGATCATATCGACGGCTGTGCCATGCCTGCCGTGATGGTGGACGGTGATCGGAAGATGGCGGCTGTAGCTGAGGGGCCTACAGCCGCAGAGGCGGCTGTGGTTGCCGCGCCAGCTGATAAGGCACTTGGAGAAGCCGCTCAGGAGGGAGGTGATCCTCTTTCTGAGGCCGCATCAGCTCCCCTCTTGGTCCAGTACCTGGTCCTTCGGAAGGACCTCGTGGAGAACATGGGGTGGTCAATCGGGAGCGTGGTCGCACAAGCCTGCCACGCCGCCGTCGCCGCCACGTGGCTCTCTAAAGACGATGCGCTCACTCAGCGGTACTGCTCCGACTCTAATATTGATCACATGCGCAAGGTAAGTTGCTCTCACTGTCTCTCTCCTTCCCCTCTCTCTCTCTCTCTCACGTTTGTGTGTGTGTGGCCGTGGAAATCCCCGTTCTTTGGATGCCTCTCTACTCTCTCCTGTTGGTTTCTGTACTCATTATCTTTGCGTTATTTTTGGTGCCACTGGCTTCTCCTCCGTTCAACTCGGCCCGCCATCCTCTCTGTTCTTCGTCTTCTCCTCCGTCCTATTCCGTATCCCCTTCAACATTGTAGCTTCTTTGCATTTGCAGGTTTATGCAAGAGACGATTAAAGGATTACTGTAAATGCTCTTCAAGCGAAGTTGACTTCAATAAACTCGCAGTCGCACAGGAGACGAAAAATTAACCGAGCGAGGTATCCTGCCTGTAGCCGGAATGTTGCGCGCATCGAACCCGTAGTGGCTTCTGCTGGCGAAGGTCATCGCACTGCTGACTCTCGATTGTGGCGTAAAGTGGTGTACTCCCCCTCCCCTCCCCTCCCCTCCCCTCCGTGTGAAAACATGAGCGAAAGGTTTAGCAACTCCGAGATGGGCGCCTGCTGCGTGATGTTTTGGTTCCATAGAAAAAAGGGCAGAAGGACATCGATTTGATCTCAGATGTGGAAGCGGAAATTGATCTCGTTTGATGATCAGCAATCCCCCCCCCCCCCAACCCCCCCTCCTCTTCCCGCGGCAGCCGATGCTTATTCGAGGTATACCTCATTCATTTGGATTTTTCTAACACCATATTTTTTAAAAGTCTTTCTTTTGTAAACTTTGCGTATCTAACGTTCAACACGTGAATCAAGATATAAAAAGAAAGCCAAAAAAAAAAAGAAAAACCGTGAATCAAGGTTCCATTTGTAATGACCATTCCGCAGTATCTGGCTAAGCGTCATCAGCTCTGTAGAAACATTTATGGGGTAGTTATCTCTATGATCTCATCATTCCGCACATCATATCCCTCCAAGGTAAAAAAATAAAAACTTTGAGATTTTGTCTCCGATGGCTTGAGGATTCGTGCAGTTTATCCCCGGGACATTCGACGTGTATACCTTATTTATCTTTGACTTGGGGGGGAGGTTAAGGATACGTGAGATTGACCTTATTTATTTTTGACTTGGGGGGGGGGGGGGGTTGTCTTTCAAAAAAAAAAGAATTCGCGAGAGAGAGTTTGTATCCCGAGTATGCAACGGAAGTTGCAAATATAAAGAAGGGACATCACTGCCGTCTTCACGCGCGAATAGAACGCCCGGTCATTGCATTCTGTGCTCTGCGCATTTGTATGTATGGATGCAGTTCTGGCAGCCCTAAAGTCCTTTGAGCTGCTAAACTTCTAATCTGGGCCGGACTTTCCATTCGTTTGAAGACAGTACCTTCAGATTCATTCTTCGATACTTTGCTAGTCTGAAGGTACTGTTGAATTACTACGTATCTCTCCCTCCTCAGCTCCCCTGTTGTGTTCTCTTGAGCGAACAATTTTAGTGATTTAGTATGTAAATCCCAACCTTTCCAAGCTTTTTTAAGTGTCACTATAGGACGTGAGACGGTCTTCTGTAAATGATGCGAAGAAGGCCACAACCGTTCGATCTCGCTAGCCGAGGAAACTACAGGGGTCCGGAGTGTTTTCGCCTCACTGCTATGTGTGTCTCCCAGTGGATGTGAAAAAGAAAACGAGCGAAGAAGAAGCAGAAGAGAAAGAATAGTTGAATAGATGGACAGAGGGGCAGAGGGACTGAAGAAGGGAGGGAAGGTGGTTTACATGGGTGTATGCAACGATTGATCGGTGGTGGATAGATAGATGGATGAATGGGGGCCGAGGGATAGGAGGGGGGATGGATGGATGGATGGATGGGTCCATGGACTGGACTGGATGGATGGATGGATGGACTGGACTGGAACGGAGGGCGGAATGGAGGGAGGATGAATTGTAATCGTGGTGTTCGTACTGTTCTGCGCCCACGCTTCGCGTCTGCGAAACCTCATACTGAACGCTCCGATGGCCTCGACGTCTCTCCTGCTGTAAAGGCCAGGCCGTTGCCGTTGGGGTTTGCTGGACCTTGTACTGTACATCAAGACATACATTCCATGAGCAAAACTCAGAAATCAACTGTGTCTCGGTCTGTGTTTGGCAGGTCATTACAGTAGCAACTAATATATCAATCAGTGGAAGTGTTTGTCCCCCTTACCATCGGATTAGGGGTTTTGGGTGGTTATGCTTCCCCATTTGAGTAGCTGAGGCTGTGCTGGTCCAATGTGAACAACTGAAGTGGATTGGCAGGTGGGGGATTGGACACAAACGGCCGTGCAAGTTGCCCCCCGTGCGGTGCATTCTGTTCTCCGCCATGGAAGGAAAAAAAAGGTTAGGACTAATAAGGCACTGCACTGGAGCTCTCCTTGGCTTCAGGCTACGATTTGGGCGATACCCGACTGGCGGCTCATCCGCTGAACCCGGGATAGGATGCTGCGGAGTAGGTTTGAACAGCCTGCATCACTTTTGTAGACATGCCAGTGGCATCATCAGGGGTTGAAAGTTTAAACCATGTGTCCAACGGGCAAAGAACAGAATGCACCGCACCGGGGCCAACTTGCATGGGCGTTTGTGTCCAATTAAGCCATGGACAGCGTGGCTCAGATTAAACCCCCAATACCGCGGGTCAGTTGAAACCCGCAGTACTACAGACCATTTTGAACCTCCAATACCATGGGCGACTTTAAGCCCCCTAATACCACAAACCCCCAATACCATGGCCCGGCTTAAATCCCGGACACCATGGGCCAGCTTAAACCCCAGATACCATGGGCCGAGGAGCTTTGCTGTCCCGGAGTGTAGATGGCTTAAACCCTTCACACCACGGATATGCTCTCTAAGGAGCTTCGCTATCCAACAGTGGCACATGGTTTAAACCTTCAATACCATTGACATGTGCCCTCAGAACACAGAAGCTTTGCTGACCTCACGCTAAGGAAAGATCATTCCGGTCGAATTCCACCTGGCCTGGCCAGCACTGTTTGCCAAGGTGTATGAAAAACTCGGTTGTCTCTTGGTCTGATCTCTTCCATGATTTACCTGAATTGCTCCAACCTTACGTGGATGTACAGATGCCCATCTGGTCGTCAAGGTGCATTCTCATATGCACAGCAGAAAGTAAGGTAAACTATGGGGGGCCTAGAGCAGGTAATTCAACACGGAAAGGCAAATTCTCGAGGCACTGGAGCAAATAACCCAACACTGGAAGGCCAGCGCAGCGTTATGGAAGACAATGCTCCCAAAGTGGTCTTTGTGGTTCCAAAGGCTGAGAGCCTCTGACAGTGTCCCTGTTCACGAGGGCTGAGCTCTACAATCCGGATTTTGCGTACTCTGTCCATGGATTGCCAAGATCGCGCCTGTGAGAACAAACAGTGCAAAGGAGCAATTCATTCCCATAGGCGGTCGAATTGAACTGAAGTATCCTCGAATTTGTGAGCCATTATTTTTAGGGGCCCTCATTGGGACCTTGCCTCAGAAGAATAGGGGCACCAAGGGTTTTTCATCATGTGTCTAAACTTCTCTAAAGACACTCGAAAGTGAAGCTGTGAGTGAATACAATTGAACCTAATTAATTTGCAGATGTGAGTGAATACAATCGAACCTAACTAATTTGCAGACGCCGTCTGGAAATGTACAAGCAGCATTTGTGGGTGCCAAAGGTTCTGGTGGTTGTTTGAAACTTCAAATGCATTTCAAGTTTCCTAATTAATGATGTTGTAATGTTGCCTGTTCTACAGTGAACGGTGGTGGTACATTTTTCGGCTGTGTAAAAACCATGGTTATCGACCGGACGTCCGGATCCCGATCCAGACAGTCCGGTGTCCGGTGTCCGGTTCGGAGGGTCCGGTTCGACCCCGATTTCGAAAAATTCGAATTTTTTTTGGGGGTTCCCAGGCCGTTTACCTGGGCCTGGGGTACCCCAGAAAAATAATGCTGATGTTTTTTGAGAACCGGTACCCCAACCGGGCAGGCCCTGAAAGGGCCCTCTGTGTGATAACATCGGCACACGAGTTCACCTCTTTGCTCTTATTTGGATGGAATCTTGGTACATTTGATCTCTCTGCTTGGTACATGACTATCTGGACTTCTGCGTGATTTTGAAACTTGATTTTCTGTCTATCGCTCTTGCTCATATTCCTTGCATTTTCGTGATGTGGGAGGGTCTGGCCGATGGGAGGGGCGATGAAGGATGGGAGCGGCGAGCAGGGATGGGAGGGCGATGACACCAGACAGAGATGAGCGACATTGGATACTGTGTTGGTGGGGCTTGAGGGCGATGACATTGGCACACGAGTTCACTGCTTTGCTCTTATTTGGATGGAATCTTGGTGCATTTGAGCTCTCTGCTTGGTGGTGGTGTTTTTTTTTTTTTTTTTTTTTTTTTTTTTCCGGACAACCGGACACCGACACAGCAAACCGGACTTTCCGGATGTCTGGATGTCCAGTTAACCGGACGTCTGGTTCCAGACGCGGGTCCGGTGTCCATGTCCGGTTGTCCGGTTTTGTCCGGTTGTCCGGGTCCGGGGCAACCATGGTAAAAACCTGGGAAGTTCTGAGGGAGGTCTTGGCCCCATTGGACTGCGTCTAGGTCTTTGTAGGGAAAAGCAAGCAGATGAATGATAGGGGTACACCTCATTGTTGCCCTTGTTGGTTGTTCATTCTCTGGTGTACAGTATATCGATGGGTTCACCTTTGCACCATCGGGAATCTATGGTGGATGTGCACGGTTGAGCACCTTCTCCCCGACTTAAGATCTCATGTCCTACATCATTGATGTCCTCCTACTTTTTTCTACCTCTTTTGTTCTCCTTTGTCCCCTGCATCTGCAAACTCCTCATCCTCCTGTTTTTTTTGTGCCTTCTGCTGCTCCTGTTTTCCTCCCTTCTGCCTCGCTGCTGCCAGGTTGTGTTGGAGGTGAAGGGAGAGAAACAGTTGGTGGACCTCTCTGGGAAGCTGGCTGTGGCGGGAGTTGGACACAAGCTCTGGGTGGAGCAACCGGAGAACTTTCCCACGTGTTTGGCAACAAAGCCCTGCATAAAAGAGGAAGTCGCCATGCATTTCAAAAAGTGCAAATTGTGCAAGTGAAAACCGAGTGACATGCTTGAATTGTTCTGGAGCAGGAAGGGTGGGTATCTGCTGATATTTGTGCCAAAAAACCGAGGCTGCTGAGCCTTTGCCGACCACCAGTTCACGCCCCCTTATTTCCCTGTTGTCTGCAGTAAACTGCAGACTTTTCCTGTAGGGCGGGTAGAGGGCCTGCAGCCAAGTCCAGCCGGGCCCAGTATCAATAGGGCGCTGGCCTACCGGGGAGGTGTAGTCTTCTTTGTGCCACTCGCCCCTTGTCTTTGTGACACGAGAGTCATGAATCTTGAACGGGTGGGTATGTTGTCCAACGTTTTTTACTCCTTTTGTGTTTCTGTGTTAGCTTGCAGGTTTCTTCTTTTTTTTGGCTTTGAGACCTTTTTTTCCCGCCTCTATTGTGCTCAATACCTTTTCTTTCGCGGGTGAGCATCTTCTTTTGTCTGTAGAAGTGGACCCGCTGCAGCTATGCGAAGGACGGCGACAAAAACATTTTGCGAAACACCGCAGCCATCAGTTGGATACCATCTTTGCGATGTAGCCCTACGGGACGCTGCCCAACTTTGCAAAATGGCCCGGTAGTTGCCAAGTTTTCGTAGGTGCAATTGCAAAAGGCGAAGTGAATTTGCACACCCGCCTGACAGGGGCATAAGACAAACATGTCAGCCCAAAACGCCATTCCACTGTGCCCATATCTTTTTGGGACATTTTGACATATATTTCAACTTATGGGGATATTTGGCATATTACCATCCCCCCCCCCCAAAAGGGCTGAGTATTTTTTTTGTGTGCCCAGCTGAGCACCCTTAAGTAGTGCCAAACAGTCGGTGGTTCCTCGTTTGGAGTGCCAACTGCACTCTTAGGGGGGTGCTCGGTTTGGGATGTCTGTGTTGCCTGTTGGTGATGACGGATGTTCGTTGGAGTGACTCCCTGGCTCAGTGGGTGGTGGGAACCAACAGTCTGTGGGGTTCAATCGTGATGTGAGTAGTGAGTAGGTCATGTGCTGCTTTGCTCCGTGTTGGATGTGTGGACGTCCTCGTCTGCGCTCCGCTGCTGCCCTGCTGCCTGTCCCGCTTGCCTCGCATGTGGTTCTTTGCAGGTTGATGTGTTCGCTGTGCGGTGTGGCCGTGTTGTTGGTGTTGCCTTCTGCTTCGCAGCTGTGCTGCTCATCCGCTGACCTGTCCTTCCGTGTTTGCCACTTGTGTGCCCTGTAGGTTGGTTGCCTTGTTGCTGGTGCCTTGGTGTCCGCTCCACGTTTGCCGAGCTGCTGGTCCGCTCGCCCTGTCGTCCCTTGCAGTGCTGTTGCCTTGCTTGTGTTGTCTTGTGCTTCACTACACGGTTGACGTGCTGCATGCCCTGCGTGCCATGTCGCTCCATGCAGTCGTTTTTGGTGTTGTGCAGCCGTGTTGCCTCTACTGTGTTGCCTGGTGCTCCACAGGGTTGCTGCCCGCTGCTATGTTCCGCTTGGGGACAGTCTGCCTTCAACAAGGGTCAAAGGGTTCATGACCCAAACCATCAAATACGGAGATTCTGCAGATTGTCGAGGGTTCAGCCTCCTGATGAGTCGGTGCAACTCCGACGAAACAATCTATCATGTTTTTTTTTTTGACTTTTTTTTTTCGCTTTGTGTTTTTTTGCTGCTTGGTCTTTTGTTTGCCTCGGTGTCTTGTTGCCGGGCTGCTGTTCTTTTCTTGCTGAGTCTTGTTTGCCTGCCCACCCGCCTCCCCCCCCATGCCCTCCAGCCTACGTTCTGTACTGTTGCTTCGATGCCCTAGTGCCACTTCTTGACTTGTTGTTGCTGCCTCATTCTTCTGCCTAGTGCTGTTTGTCTGCCCGCCCGCCTCCCCCATGCCCTCACCCCTTTGTTCTTTGCTGCAGCTTGTCATCCAAGTACTGTGTTGCGCCTTGTCTTCGCCTTGCCATTTTGCTTGCCTTGTTGTACTTGTCTTACCACTGGTCGGTTTGGTTTTTGTTGTTCTTTTTTCGTTTCCTGGCTTTTGAAAGCTGGGCATCATAAGCATTCTTTCCGACGCAACATGCTGCGACACGGTCGCAGAAGCCACGCGATACAAATATAACACACACACACACACGGCTGAGTGGGTGTGTAGAGTGGGTTTTTTGACTGTGTCAGATTAGTTTCTCAGACTTACTACCGTTCTTGTCAGGGGTTTGGACCGGCAGTCTGCTAGGATTGCAAGGTTGGTGTGAGTACAGTCGACCACTTTTCTCTCAGAGGGGTATCGCTAACTCTGGACGATGTGGTGCTCATCCTATCGATGGAAAACTCTCTCTCTCTCTCTCTCTCTCTCTCTCTCTCTCTCTCTCTCTCTCTCTCTCTCTCTCTCTCGCGCGCGCGCGCGCGCACGCGTCACATAAAACTCGGGGCGGGAGGCAGGGAAAACTCGGGGCGGGGCGTGGCCTGCCGGCGCCTTCCCACCGCGTCGCGGCGCTTCGTGCAGCCGCCACCACCGCCCTGCACCGACTTTTCCAGGCACCTTCCTGCTGCGGACCGTCAGCCAACCTCGCAGCATTTCCAACCCTCGCTTCGCTTAGTCCTTGTGGCTCCGTCAGCGCCAGTCCCTCCCTGGGACCGGGGAGTCCCTCCCTCGGGCCACGCCTTTGTCGCTTTTCCTTGGGCCCGTTTCCTGCCGTTACGGTGGGCCTGCTACAGTTTTATAGTATTAGAGATTTCAACACAATTTTTCTATGCATGGAATGTCTTCTGAGGCCCATGCCACCTTTCTTTATACCTGTGGTACTTGTGGTACGTTCTATACCCCCTACGCACGTTTTACACACGTTTTGTTTTGAGCTCCTTTTTTTTATTTTATTTTTTTAAAGGGGCCCAGTGGCCGAGGCTCAAATTAAGCAATTGAATACAAAGCGAACCTACGCCTGTTCTCATTAGGGCGGGAAGAGCCTCAGCCAAGGTACCTCTAGCGCCTTTTTTCCGGCCTCCCGTAAGTCCTTTTTCTTTTCTTTGGGCTTTGGCACCTTTGGCCTCCCTCCCCCTTGTTTGGCTCTGGTACCTTCTATTTCTTTCAGGCCTCTACGATTTCTTTCTGGTTGAAGTCTCCTCAAGCATGTTGTAGAGAGAGTCCTGCAACTTCATATCACGTTATCGTCACACTTTCTTTCTGTTGCCTTCACCAGGTTCACCTCCATTGCAACATCTTGCTGTGTTGCTTCCCTGCCATGTGTGCACACTCGTGACAACTTTTCACGCATGCTGTGATTTGGAGACGGGGTCTGACTTCCATTTCTTCGTTCGTTCGTTCGTTGGGGGGGGAGAGAGAGAGAGAGAGAGAGAGAGAGAGAGAGAGAGAGAGAGAGAGAGAGAGAGAGAGAGAGAGAGAGAGAGAGAGGATGTTCCTGGATAGTGTTACGATCTTCGCTGCAGCTGCTGAAGATATGGTGGATGTGGCAGGGCCATGAATCACCCGGCTTTCTCCTCCCTCCCCTTCCCCTGCCTGCTTTTTTTTCCGTGGTTGTTTTCTTTTCTTTTTTTTCATCTCTCTTCTTCTACTTGCTCTATTCTTTGTATTTTATTTGTTGTTTGTTATTTTTAACGATAAAAATATACAAAAAAGGTTAGATTTGTGTGTGTGTGTGTGTGTATGTGTTGTGCGTGTGTGTTTCATTGCAGATGACCATGTCTGCATTACGTGTCTCTGTCCGGCGGTGCAGCAAATGAGTTTTGTTTTTATTTCTGTGTTTTTGCAGTTTTTTTCATTCTTCGGAATCGAATGATGATGACAACACCGCCCGCGACATGGAAGACGTGCCACCCCTACCCCACCCAAAACCCACTCCCTTACTCCCTTTCAAGGGGAAGGTTGGGACAGCCCCGCGCCTGCCGCAATGTAGGCGCCTTGATGATGATAATTGGGGGGGAAAAAACAAAGAACAAATCAGGAAAAAACTAGGTTGATGTGTTTTCACGAGTCTGTTCGTTTTCTTTGGTTATTTTTGTGTTCATTATCATCGCGAAGGTACCTGCTACGTGGCAGGCGCAGGGCTGCCCGACCCCTCCCCACCACTTCTCTCCCTCTGTTTCTCAGTTCTCTCTCTCTCTCTCTCTCTCTCTCTCTCTCTCTCTCTCTCTCTCTCTCTCTCTCTCNTCTCTCTCTCTCTCTCTCTCTCTCTCTCTCTCTCTCTCTCTCTCTCTCTCTCTCTCTCCTCTCTCTCTCTCTCTGCACACTTGCCATGACAACAGAGGGCACAAGAATCCTCGGGCAACATGAAAGAAAGAGGAAGGGAACGAAGGTCAATGAGAAGGTGAAGGGGGAAGGAAGATAAAAACGGAGCCCCAACAACAAATGAAACTGGCAAGCAGACCTCAAGAAAAGAAGTAGGAACCGGAGGCCTCAACAGAAAGAAATGGTACTGGGGCGTTACGAACAAGGGCACAACGAGCATTAAATAAAATACGCAGGGCTCAATAAAAGGAAAAGGCACAGACCAGGTAGTCTGGGGCTCAGCGATGCAAAAAAGACGTTGGTTGCGAAGATATCGAAAAGAGTAGTGGAGGGCAAAAAACGAAAGAAAGGAAAGAAAAACGCGGAGGAGGCCTAAATCGGAAAATGGAAGGGGGGAGGTCCCGCTTAGCGATGGAGGAAACTATAGGGGAGGCGTCCCCGAACACAAGTTAGTGGAAGAAAATCAAAAAATAAAACAAAATGCAGGATGAAACATCAGGTTGAAGTGCGGGAAAAAATAAAAGAAATCTTCTGGCAAGGTCGTCAACTGGCCTGCACCAGTCCTATCATGGCAAACACGACAGAAAAAAAAAAAGTAAAAAAAAGGCACCGCAGGGCATTTGAGGAAATCACTTTCGGGAGGTGCCAGTCGCATGTCCGTATGTTCAGCCAGCAAACGATGAAACAAGAGGACATTAAGTCAGAAAAACGAAAATAAGCATATTGATTGGATGAAAGAAGAACACGATGGCTAGTGAGCGAAATGCGATGAAGACGACGAAAGGACATTCAACACCTGCAATAAATAGCTGAACGAAAAAGCAAAAGAATTGACAAAAAAGAAGTGACACACTGAAAAGAAGGGAAATAATTTCAAAAAAACAATGTTATTGAAGTTGTTCATGGAAACAGTGAGTGATGAGGGAGGGAAAGGTGCACTTGGTGTCAGAGCCGTCATCAACACAATGTTTGTCGCAAAAAGAGAAAAAAGAAAAAAGAAAGAAAGCCTGGAGAAAAGTAAAGAAATAAGAGGGCACAGTCGGAGAATGAAGCTGGGGAAAAAAAATACGATAATCAAGAAAGGACAGAACACCATGAGTGTGAGCAAATTTTTATTTTATTAAAAAGAAACCACTTTATTCTCTGCTGCGAACCGGGCACTTCCCTCGCTTAGACAATGTAGGAAAAAACTTAGAAGTGGTGTGATGATAAAAACGCACCACAGTTTAATGGCACAAGTTTTTTTTTTTTGTGAACGGAAATAATTCAATTTCAAATAGCTTGTGTTGCCATTCAGGCAAATCGATGTCTTCACGCTAGCATGCACATGGTTCAGCATGTCGCAAGTCAGGAGCTCTTCGGACGTCGACGTCGAGAATCATCAGAGTCATGTCCATGCTGCAACAATAGGTGCATATGAAGAATGCATAGCTGAAGCACCATTTGCGCGCTTGCACAAACGTCTTACAAGACATGTCTCTCCCA